TTTTTTTTTATAGAAGCTAGTCTAGTTCAACTCTCTATATGCACAAAATTTCAGATCAAAAATCGATGGCTCACGAGGGAAGGTCCCCAAGTGTGACGCGCCGTTTTGAATCAACTCTATACTAGTTTGTAGAGCTCGATGAGACTAGACGAAGCCTATAAGGATTCGTCCCCATACGCTGTCCTTCTTGAGTTATGATCGTTTTATAGGATTTTCGACCACTGGCAAGGCATATATGAGAAAATTGAATTACAGGATTCTAATCTGAAATTTTGCCTACAGATAGGTCTCATGGCCCTTAGAATGTCCTGAAAAATTCAATCCCAAAGAATGTTTTCTTCTTGAGACATTGGTATCCAAAAAATGATCATGTGTCGCAAGAAAATATTAGAAACGCGAGTATTTTCAACACTCAATATCTCAAGAAGAGAATATTCTTTTGAGCTGAATTTTTTAGGACATTCTAAGGACCACGAGGCCTATCTGTGGAGAGAGAAAATGTTAGATCAAAATCATGTAATTCAATTTTCTCATACATGCTTTGCCAATGGTCGAAAATCCAGTAATACGATCATAACTCAAGAAGGACAGTGTATGAGGACGAACTCTTTTAGACTTCATCTAGTCTCATCGAGTTCTACAAACTAGTATAGATCCGATTCAAAACGGTGCGTCACACTTGGAGAGCTTCCCTCGTTAACCAAATCTCAATAGGAACCTGAAGAGACACTGTGTAGTATCTATAGGTGAAACACCAACAGAAGTATCTTTTTCACTTTCTCATTATCATTTTTTAATTCATTAATCATAACGATAAATATTATGAATTGAAATGAACCAGGAATATCTATAGTAATCTTCCTAGTATGGAAGAGGCCATAACGAAAGAATATTTCTCCGATAGTTACATTTGTTGCATCATTGTTTGAACATACCGGTATAAGACGACTTTATACTCGTATTGTTCAACATTGCTTCCTATTCTGAAAAGATACTATAGAACACAACTTTCCTTTGAAATATTCAGATAAAAACTGTTTTTTTCTTTATAAGCACCAAATTGAATTCTTAATTAAAGTATCCCTTAGATCGATTATTTTAATATATCATACGAAAATCATCATTGCCGTAATGAACAGTTATATGTATGTGATACTGGAATAAACTTGTAAGTCGATAATGAAAAAAGACAAATAACTATATTTGGACACAAAAATTGTGAACGGCATTGCAGAAGAGATTCCGAATACCTGTTATTTGCAAGTTTATTTCCGATCAAATTCTTTGATATATATTTTTTTGTACTAGGGTAGCAGGAATTTTGTCAATGGACGGAAATCTAGCCGTATTATGTCGTCTATGGCTATTCCCAGAAATTCAATTAAGTACCAGCATGAGAGATAGAAGTCATAGAAATATTGGAAATATTGCATAAATACACGCGGCCACACTGATACCCTATATCTTCTCTATCTCCTACGTTAGTACTTAATTGAGTTCTCATGGAAAATCTGAAAAAACATCTAATCAATTCCAGGAGACGCGTTGACGCAAGTAGGACGAACTTTCACAAACCGTCGTGAAACAAAAATAATATAGGATACATGTGAGGGTTGAGGCTAATATTTTTAGGATATATATTCCATAGCTTACAATCAGCGTGTGTTCGAATATGATCGAGGTATGTTTGTAATAAGAACAAAGCGGAATTAATATGAAAAAGAAGACAGGATGGGGTTGTAGGTGTCGGTATTGATGAAGAAAATCTCTCACTCTCAAACCTAGCATGAGCTATCACAGGCATTAATCAAAGAGTTTATTATTAGAAATGACATATAAAATTTATGAGTATAACATAGACGAACATAATCTATCAATATAGTCGATATGATTTTTTTTTTAAATCCATATCTGACTCACAGTCAAATCGGTGAAATTCCGGAATCCCTATTTGTTGACCTGATGACTCGAACTATGTAAATTTTGATGATATTTTTGATTTTGAAATTGATGAGAATAAAAATAAATTTCACCATTGTATGTAACGATGAAGCTTCAATAAAATCGATAGGCAATGAAGATATTTTAATATTTTACTTAATTCAAAAAAATAATTTATGTTGATCTTAAATATTATTCAATGATTTAAAAAGAAAGATTTTTCTATATTCATTCAAATTTAATTAAATAAAGTTATTGGGAACTATCGGACGCAGTCAATTGATCATCTTTGTCGTCTTCTTCTTCATGAAATATAGGTAATGCTTCACCCGTGTAATAGAGTATTGCTCTTGGTAATACACGTTGTTTTAATAATAATCCAAATTCAATATCAGCTTCTAAACGTATTTGATCTTCTTTATTCATGTCATGAATACCATTGATTGGAATAATTGGTGGTGAAAAAAAATCAAAAAAAGATTTAATCGATTCTTCAATTTGTACAAATCGAATTTGTCCTGTAGTTTTATTTCGTATTCGTTTTGTACGTTTTCGAATTGTAAGATTATAATCAGATTTCCATGTAATTAAACAACCATAACAATGATCAACTTCTGGTCCATCATAAGATCGATATGGATTTGAATTATTTAATTCATATCGAATTGAATATTGTTTTGTAAGAATTGTTTCAATAAAAAATGGATTTGTTGGTAAAAAATGAAATTCAAG